CAGAACCTCTGGAATCCTAAAATAGTTGGAGGGAGGGAGGGAGGGAGGGAGGGAGAGAGGGAGGGAGGAGGGAAGTGAGATCTCCAGGCTAAATTTCGGTCAAGGAACTCCCCACCCAGTTTCAGCCTCATTCCCACTCATCACCCACCACGCCACCCTTAGACCCAATATTCTGGACCTGTACTGCCACCTGGTGGTCACAGTGGGAATTCTCCAAATATTGTTGCTGCCTCCTTTGGCCAAGGGAACCTGATTCCAACTCACACGTTGTACAGACTTGGAAAAGTTACCACTTAGAGGGTAGGAGCTAGGGACACAGGTGTGGTCTCAGGGCAGTGTCCAATAGATTCATCTCTACCAGCACTAGTCCCAGGAAAGGCAATTTAGAAAGAAGCAGAATGAGCATGTCATGTGGCGTGGATCCCACATAGTGGAGTTTTTGCAGATCACCATTGTTAGTGGCCTGCCTCTGAAGAAGCTTGTCCCAGTTGGAAACACACCTCTACAGCTTTATATCAAACCTAATTCAACCCAGAGCAAGGCCCAGCACAACAAAACCCTTGCCCCGTTCAGGAGTGATGGGTCCTCCTCTGTACTCCCCCCGTGACCTCACTTGTACCTTTCCTCGCCTCCTGGTGAGGGATGCTGCCATTGCTCACAGTCTTGCTGCCTTGGTTCTCACAACAGATGGGATTCTTCCAAAGCCAGCCCCATCTGCACCCATCAGCACCAGAGCCCAGCAGGGGACCTCATGTGGACAAATCCAGAGTGGCCGAAGGGAACAGATCACCAGCCGAGGAGCAGCTCCAGCTCTGGAGAATATTCTCTCCTTCTCTGGAAATTTTGGCAGTGAGCTCTGGGGTTAACCTGCCTGGGGCCAAGTTCTGTATACTAAGCTGCCCTATTGTCCTGTGCCTTTGTCTCTCCATCTGTAATCTGGACACACAAAGGATGTCCACTAGGTTGCTGGGAGACTGGAGAGCTCTGGTTCTGTCTGTGAGTACCCAGGAGGTTCACACACTCTCACTCGGCAGGACTTCAGAGTGTCATTTTATTGACTTATTATTGAGCTGCTGGTAAATCTCTTAAATCTCTCATAATCTTATGTTCTTGGCTTCCTTCCTTCAGTGAATGAGTCTTTCAGTGAATGCCAGGCAGGGAGGGTCTGGCCCATTTTGTGGCTCTCTAGGTCCTGCAGTCTAATGGCAGGAGAGAAGGGTGGGCCCTGCTGGACCCTGCCCAACAGAAGCCTGGGTAGTGGCATGGCTGCCAGGGCGAGGTGAGAGAGGCAGCCAGGATGTGGAGACGAGGAGGGGTGTTCTAGTCGGTGAGAGCACAGTGCCAGCATATGAGAGCACATGACCGGGGTTTATGGAGGGAGATGGGGAGGGGAAGGGAGAGGGAGGGGAGGAGAGGGGAGAGGAGATGGGAGAGCAGAGGGTTCAAGGAGTGGGGCCAGAGGACAGCTCTTAGGCCATCCAGTGTACTTGGCTGAGGCTGCCAGTGCCTGGAGTTGCCAGCAGGTGGCATCATAGTTGCTATGAGAGAGGCTGTAAGGCCAATTGGGATCCAAGTGCCTGCGGGCGACCTGTCAGGCTCCGGAACCCCCACTTCTAGAACTTATCGGGAGCTCCTGTCTGGAATGGTGTAGAAGGCCCTAGTCCAGCTGGAAGCCTGATGTTCCCAGACTGTGGGCCTAGATCTCCTCTGCCATGCAGGTGACCCTCTGCCTCCTGGAGGGGCTAATCACGCAGAATCGCAACGAGGGTGACTGCCATCCCCACACTCTTCCCTGGGCCTGGATCAAGGGCCCTGGGGCCAGAGTTACCAGCTGAAGCCGCTGCAATGCCTACTTCACGCCCTTGAGTTGAGGGGCACGGTGGGTATTTGTGGGTTCCCCCACTGTAGTGAACACAGGTGGGGGGCCTCCTCTGAGCCAACTTTTCCAGGTGTGAGTTCTGCCTCTCTATTCAGACCTGCTGCTCAGTACCTTTTCATCTCACCTGGACCAAGGGAGCGGGCTATCTCTTTGATGGGGTCTCCAAAAGCAAGTCAGTCTACAGGAAATGTTCTGGGGGTTGAGAAATCAGCAGCCTTCCCGGGTATCATCAGCTCTGCTAAGAGCCCGGCATGTTCCCAGGCTTTCCCCTGCCATCCTGCTTCCCAGCCATGTGATCCTGGACTAGTCCCTGGCTCTCTGAACACACCTGTACTTTCTCTGACAAAGGCGTTGGAGTGGGGGATGGGCGGAAGTACCTGGCTTGCTGCAGATACTATGTAGCAGGCAGGAGGTTGGGCACCGGCCATGAGAAGTTACTCTCAGGTTCTGTCTGGCGCTTTCTTCTTTCTCCTCCTTCCCCTCCCCATTTTTTTTTTTTTTTTTAAGATTTACTTATTTATTATGTATACAGTGTTCTGCCTGTATGTATGCCTTCACTCCAGATGAGGGCACCAAATCTCATTATAGATGGCTACGAGCCACCATGGGATCACTGGGAATTGAACTCAGAACCTCTGGAAGAACATCCAGGGCTCTTAACCGCTGGGCCATCTCTCCAGCATACACCCCACCCCCGTCTCCTCATTTTTGTACTATTTGTCTTTGTTTTAGATAGGCTCTTCCTATAATGTAGCCCGGCTGGGTCTCAAACTCATTGCCAGGCTCAGCTTCACTTTGCCTTGTTTTAAGCAAAAGAGAGAACCTACTGGCTGGGTCAAAGATCAAAAGGCAGGTGAGTCCGGAAGAGAGAGCGTGAGTGGTGAGTGCATTGAGGGGTCAGGAAGAGCAGCCAGGTGGGGGATGGCCAGGGGGAGGTCCCTAGGAGGGCGAGCTGAGCCAGGAGTATGCGTTCTTGTCTTCCTTGACAGTGGCTCCACATCACAAGGCAGCTCCCTGTGAGTTGTCACATCCAGCAGGATCGTGTCTATGGCAGGAGGATGTTCCAGGTCCCAGCCCCGCCAGCGCAGGCAGCTGGACTCCAGGCCTTCACCCGACCTCTGCTTAAGCCTGTCTTCTGTCATCTAGCCAGATGGGTGCCTGGGTGCCAAACAGGCAGGCTTCCTTCTACACCCACCATCTTGCCCCTTCTAGGCTCATAGGTGCCAGGCCTCTAAGATGACTCTCAAGCCCCCTCCCTAGGACACCTTATTATGAGGGGAAAACCCTCATCCCCTGCTTCAGACCCAAAGGGCTCCGGGATCTGGGGGAAAGCTTTAGTTTATATGAGCACAGAAGTTCATCCCCAGGCTGTAGATGAGGGACCTACCATACCCAGCTTAGAAATGGTAAGTTTGGATGGTCAATACAAGGAAATCTGCCTAGAGTGTGGCATCTTCTGGATGCCGCTGTGCTTGCTGGGAGAGAGCTAATTTCTTCCACGGATTTCTTGGGGAAAGTCATAGATGAGTCATAGCCACAACCACAGCCACATCCTGGCTAGGAAGCAGAAAGAGAAAGTGATTAGGCACAGCCCTGTGCCTCCTCCAGGCAGCCTTCCCTGAGTAAAACTTCGGGGCCTGGGAGCAGCTCTGGTCAATAACCTCTCTCTAATTAAGCAAAGTCAGTCCTGGAAGGCAGGAAGTCCCTCACATACAAAATGCTTGCTTAGTCCTGGGTACTCCTTGAGGTCTGAGAAGCCCAGGGAAGAAAGGATGCTACATGTCAAAGACTCTTGTGTCAGGGTCTGAGAGTCCTCAGACTCCCCTCACCCATCCATCCCAGTGCACTATAAACACCCAGGCTGCGGGGGTGTCTGTGGAGCACCCAGGCTACAGAGGTGTTTGTGGAGCACCCAGGCTGCAGAGGTGTTTGCGGAGCACCCAGCAGTTCTGAAAAGAGCAGGGAGGAGCCTGGGTACTCTCGCCACGTGGAATATAGCCCAAATCTTGGCTTCTGCCAAGACTTCCGTCCCTGGGGACTGGCCTGGATTCCATCTAGGACAGGCAAGTGGGGTGGTGGTGAGATGGCTGGGGTGATGTGAGGTCAGACCTAGACTCTCAGAGGGATCTTCAGGCCTGCCAGAGTCACCTGATGGAGCAAGGCACCAGTGACCAGGGAGAATGGAAGAGGCCCAGGGACGCTCCTGTCTCGCTCTGATGTGGAGATCTAGACTGGAGACCATGTAGTAATGTGTCTGGGACCTCAGGAAACCAGCTCCCAGACACAGGGGGCCTGGTACCCATTCTCTTCAGCAGGAAGCAAGAGATTGTCTCAGCTCTCTCCAGGCTCACTACCACCCACCAGGCAGACTCTCAGCCTTTTCCAAAACCCTCCACAACTCTAGAACTGGCCTGTTTATGTTTCTGACCACTTTGGGACGTGTTTGTTGCCGTCAGCTTTTAGGCCACTGTGAGGATCCATACCGCTCCTATGTAGGCCCACCAGCAAACATTACTCAGAAGGTTCACTTGTGCGGTGGAACAGGACTCCAGAGGCCGGGGACTCACTATGACTTCAGCTGCGTCCCAGCCCTCCCCCTGCCCTTCTACACCCTACACATTCTAGAAACCTCACACTGTGGGGGCACTTGGAAGGAGGCCCTCTTGGGATTGATTCTGCGTCCAGGCTGTCCGGGGCTTTCCTCCAACTGTGAGGACTGTGCTGTGTTGGCTGGTTTACTGTCCACTGGACACAAGCTAAAGTCATTTTGGAAGAAAGAACCTCAACTGAGAAAATGCCTGCCCCCCCCCAGCACACACACACACACACACACACACACACACACACACACACACACACACCCGACTGGCCTGTGGACAAGTCTGTGGTGCACTTTCTTGATTAATGATTGATGTGGGAGGACCCAGCTCACTGTGGGTGGTGTCACTCCTGGGCAGGTGGTCTTGGGGTGTGTAAGAAAGCAGGTTGAGCAAGTCATGAGGAGCAAGTCAGTAAGCAGCACCCCTCCACGGCCTCTGCATCAGCTCCTGCCTCCGGGTTCCTGCCCTGACTTCTCTCAATGATGGACAACAACGTGGAACTGTAAACTGAAATCAAATCCTTTCCTCACCAAGTTGTTTATGGTCATGGTGTTTTATCATAGCAATAGAAACCCTAAGACACTAGTCCAGGCTGTGACCCACTGGTCAGAGATAGGATCCCTGGCCCCAGAGAAAGGCTGCCTCTCTCAGTCACCCCCTGCCTGCAGGGTCCAGCTCTTCAACACCAGGTACAGAAACCCTGACCTCTGAGGGACCTCACAGTGTTCCAGCCTTCCTCCTGTCCATCATACTGGGATCTCAGGCCTGTCAATCATGTATCCGACTAAGTTCCAAGAGTGTCACCTTCCTAGATGAACTGTGAGAACTGGGACGTGTCCTGCAGACTGGGATGCTCTGAGAAGTGGGCTTTCTAACACACACTACTGTATGCTGGGTAGGGAAGGAAACCACCTTCACGTCTCAGAACCTTCGACTCCTCTACCTCTTTGGCAGTTCCTCTCTTGAATGAAGGCTCCAGCACTGGACTTTGCTCTGGGAGTCTTTTAAAAATAATAAAAAAAAATTTATTCATAATTTGTAAAATTATCTGTATGCATAGGTTTGTGCATATGAGTGCAGATGCCTATGGAGGCGAGAAGAGGGGTCCTCTGGAGCTGGAGTTACAGGGGGTTGTGATCCATCTGACATGGATGTTGGGAACAGACTGAGGTCTTCTGTAACAGCAGCATATGCTGTAACCACTGAGCAGTCTCCCCAGTCCTTCTCTGAGATTCTTATCCTTACTCTGCATGCTTGCTTGTTCGCCTAGCTTTCTTGGAGACTTGAGAGGGGTGATCATGGTGTCCCTAAGGAATGCTGTCCCCTACCCCGATCTGCCTCTGCAGGACCCAAGCTAAGGAGTAAGAGGCAGTGATCACTGCCAACTAGCTCTGAAGGTGAAGTGAGGTGCATGCCAAGGGCAAACCTAGTCCCCGGTGGGATGGCACTTGTTCTAATCCTGCTTAGTCACGCCTAAGGGCCCCATGTGCTTCCCTATCCTCTTCCTCTCCCTGTGCCTGATGCTCACATATTTCCCGTTCGTTTCTCAGTGTGGCCTTTCAAGAGCATTCTCGGGGAAACCACAGCTGTCCCACCTGCAGCTGTCCCCATGGCCTGAGCCCTCAGAGGGATTTCCCTCAGACATACTTAGACAAGTCCCACCCCCGACACACACACTGAGACCTGCCAAAGGGGTACAGCTTCACGGAATAGCATAGGGATGTCTGCCTGAGCCTTGGAACACCCCAGGCATTCCCTGGCCTCACCTTCTGCCTTTATCTGTAAACATAAAGATATGGACACACAGGACACGCTTGCTCGTCTTTTTTCTACTTGGCATCTTTCTCTTCCATGTAGAACAAAGTGCAGTGTGGGTTGGCTCTCTGATGGGATACTGGGCTGGAGGGAAATGTTTCTAGGAACCTACAGGAAGGTCAGAACACCGCAGGAGTTTCTGAGCTCTCCCGACCAGAGCTTTCCTTTACATTCTGAAGGCATCCCCACTGTCTGCCTGCAGCCAAGCAATGGGATTACTTTATTCACTTTGGCTCCAAGGTGACACTTCACTGTATTAAACAAGAGACAGCCTCCTTTGAAGGCTTCCATCCACATCCACCCTGACACCACCCACAGACAGCCACTGCTGCTTCTGACCTGAAGCCCTGGTTGCCAGTCACAAAGAGAGATTTTATGCATCGGGGAGAGAGAGAGAGAGAGAGGGAGACAGAGACAGAGACAGACAGAGGGAGAAACAGAGACAGAGGAAGACAGAGGGAGAGACAGAGACAGAGAGACAGAGGAAGAGAGACAGAGACAGAGAGAGATAGAGAGACAAAGAAACACAGAGTCTGATTGATTATAGGGAGGGGGAGGGCCTTCCTCAGAGGGACCCAATTGCCAATCTTAGAAGCAGCAATGGTGGGCAATTCTGCCTTGCCCCAGTCACCACTGAGGACTTGGTTCCTCAAGGAGAATATATCCACCAGAACCTTTCACCCCAATATTTATCAACCCTACACTCTGTGAAAGACATGGGAATTTGGTTTTCCTCTGAGAGTAGGAAAAAGATCTAGAAAACAGAACCAAGTGAGTAGAAGGGACAATTTACTGTGAGGGCACAGTCTATGAGTGGGTGGCCCGCCACTCACAGAGAGCAGCCTGTGTCTGTCTCTTAGCCAGGCCCGCCCTTCAGGAAAGGGGCCTGGGTCATGCAGCAGAAGAGAAGGACACAGGGGCTCTTCTACACCCTCATCATCCCTGGTCCCTGGGGTCTCCCTTACTCCCCAGGACTGTTTCTTCAGGATGCCAAGCGGTCTGCAGCACGCACATACCTGAACCAAGGGCTTGACTAATGATGTGGGAACACACAGCTCACTTCCTCACCCCCGCCAATCTTCTGAGAGGAGAGTCTTCCCTAACAGCAAATCCATCACTGACAGGTCCAGCTGTAACTCATGTGCATGGCCCATGGGGTACATGGTTCTCAGCCTTGCCCAAAGTCCTATCCCATAACCCACATTCCCCACCTTCACCCAGCCCTCCATCATGGAACTTGGAGGCTAACCCCCTCTATGTCTCCATCATGCTAGTCTGAACCTTAGCTCTCTCTCATGGAACCTTCAGCTCTAACACTGGGACATTCCTGGGCAAACTGGTCACCATGGTGTCATTCTCTAAATCTTTCTGAGCCTAGCAGGTGGGTCCCATACATAGAACCTTACTGACTCCCCATCCCATGCCATTGACCTTGTACTTTGTGCTCCCTAGGAAACCATTTTACTTATGAATTTCAGACACAGCTCCTGTGGATCCTGAGACACCATATGCCACCCCACAATCTTCGGGGATCAAGCCCTCTTCCTCACCTGATCTCACAAGATTCTGTCCTCTTGGCCTCTATCCACCCCCCAGATGTTCCAGGCATTGTTACTCCATCTCCGAGTTGAAGCACAAGGCCCCAGAGCAACCTTGAACTCCAGGCCAAAGCATTTCCATGGATAGAACAAGAAAAACAGCTGGGCTGTCTGCCTCTCATAGCTGGGATCCAAGTGACTGTCCCCAGGCCTCCCACAGATCCTCACCTCACCCACTGTGTCCCCTCCTGGGGTTTTGCACCCCAAGTGTCAAAGACTCCATTCTCTTTGTGTAAACATCTTAATTACATCTTTAATGCTCTCACACATGGTGATGCTGTGAGTTAAATTACAGCTTTGTGCATCCTAAATTACTCACAGTCCTCCAGTTGCTCAAGTGCTAACGTATTTATAGCATCTAGAGGCAGAAATAAAACCAGAGCAGTCCCCATGGGATCCTCCTAGCCCCTCACCTCTTGATGTGTGGTATCTGCCCAATGGCATATGGGCCACCCCCGCATCCCCTCTAGCCAGCAGAGGACAGCGATGGTGGTGACGCTGGGGATGCGCCTCTGTGCATGCTCATGTGGGAGTCCCAGTGTAGAAAACTGCCCCGTCTTTGTGATCTACTCTGCCCAGTTGCCCCTGGTATGAACCTCGTGCCTCCAAGACAGAGAAGGAGACCAAAGGCCGAGACTCCCTTCCACATTCCATGAACACCGAATGCCCCTTCCTGCATTTAGGGCAGAAGGGAAAAACTAAAACCAGACTTGGTTTCTTGGGTCTTTTCCTCAAAGGACAATCTTTTCCAGGCAACCATAACTTTTCCTACTAGCTTCTGGCCTTAGACTGCCCTTGGACCAAAGGCCTCTCCCAGAACCCCGTATCGGAAGGGAGCTATTTCCGGAAGCAGGTCAGGCCAGCTTTTGGACCCCACTGAAGAAACACAGTGGACAGAGGAACCCAGCCTTGTTTCCTTCTTCCGTGTAGCCCTGAGCACTGAAGGAGAGGAAGCAGCCTATGGTGATGCTCCACTGCATACCACGGGGTGGGAGTCAGCTTGCCAGGTGGAGCCGATGCAGAGAGCCTCTGTCTTACTCTTATGCTGGAACAGGTACACGTCTGTGTGCAGCCCATTCATGCACATGCATGAAGCCTTCTCCACAAACTGAGGGAAATGCATCTTTCCATACCCAGTCTCCCATTTCATCTCCCTCAGCTACCTTGGCTGCCAGTGACATGTGGCTGGGAGACTTTGTGCTCACCCACTCACCATAATATCCTAACTATGCACTGCCCTGGGTTTGTGTAGCCCTTTTCCTGGCATCTACTGGGCATTTCTAGCTCTGTCCCTGGGCCTCCTGGGCCTATAAAGGGTGCTGCCCTAGCTGAATGTGGTGGCGCACGCCTTTGATCCCAGCACTCAGGAGGCAGAGGCAGGTGGATCTCTGTGAGTTGGAGGCCAGCCTGGTCTACACAGCAAGTTCCAAGACCCTGCCTCAAAAAACAAACAAAGAACCCTTCCCAAAAGGTGTTGCAATGCCCCATCCCTATCATCTAGGGTTTGCCTCTCTCTACCCTAGAGCAGGCCCCAGGCCAAAAAAAAAAAAAAAAAATGCAGTCCTAGATAGAGGGGAGTCTGCCTCTCTTCTCCCTTGCCCTTCAAGCTCGTGCCCTTCCTTCCCAACAGAAGCAGACCTTGACGTGAGGGGTATGGCCAGGAGACCAGAAAGCCAGCAGTGGCTCTTCGCCTTCCTGCACGAGGGCTGCCTTCCGAGCCGGGCCATCGGTTCAGGAGAAGTCAGTGGCCAGATGCCTAGCCTGGTCAGAGGTCTCTCTTCAAGCTTGAGTCAGTGGGTGGGGCCTCAGCACAGCTGGTGTCTGTTGCAGCCCTTTCCTGTCCTGTGGTGGCGATGGCTCAGGTCCTGAGATAGATCTTGACAGTCAGGAAGTGGGCAGCCAGTGCTGCTGGCACTGTGGCGGGTGTCTTTGTCAGAGGTCCAGGCCACTCACGCGTGGATGGCATTGGCTACATCAGTAAACACCAGCCTGCTAGGCCTCTGCAGTGGGCCTTGGGAAGGGAGGGTGCTCTGCAGGGAAACAGGCAGGGGCATCAGAACCATGACCAAAGCCAGTCCCTGATCCAGTCACTTCCACCCTCATTTCCTGGTGCCTGCTTTTGCCTGGCACCAGTTATGCCTTCTGCCTAGAATGCCCTTCCACCAAGCTCGGTCTAGAAACGTGACCTGGCTCCTATGGCTTCTCCCTCTCCCAAGCCATTCCCAGCTTGCCCTGTCACCTTGGCAGCACTTACTACGGGCTTAGGATTGAATTAATTAGGCATGTACTTCTTTCTGCCAGCAGGAAGATCTCACCTCTGACCCTCTTCCCCCCAGGACGGGTCAAAGACAGGCCCGGACCCTTCATGGTACTCTGGCTTTGGAGGATCTGGGAGAGTGGTAGCAGTGCTGAGGTTGCCCAGTGGTTCTGACTGGATAAGGGAATGGGCGAGGAGGAGTGTTTGGCTTGGGTCTTCACTGCCCCAGATCGTCAGAGCCAAGGATTCACCAGTCTACTCAGAGATGCCTCTGCTGAAGAACCTGATCCCACTCACAACTCACTCAAGTCCATCGATCCTCAGGGACACGAGAAACCTAAGAGTCCTTGGCCCTGTTAATCTTGCTTTTAGTTTTCATCTGTGTGTTTTTCTGCTTTCCCAGCTAGTACATGAGGGTTAACAGAAGAACTGGGATTTCCATATGTAGACGAGAAAACCAGGCTTAGAGATTCCAACTGGGCCTCCAAGATCTACAGGCTGTCAGAGCCCAGCCACGCTGGATCCCACAAAGCCTGGCTTTGTACAGTGAGTCTGTGAGAGCCACAGAATAATTCCAGCACTTTCTAAACAACTCTGAAGAGACCCATACACTCAAAGCTGCCATCTCATCACCTGGCAAGGGCTGGCAAAATGCATGGAAAGGATGGAGGGTGGGTAGTAGGAGACAGGTCAGATCCAGGCTGGGTGGGAAGACTGGCCAGTGCCCACCTTGCCCTGTGTGGCCTGCAGGGAGGCAGCAGCTTGCATGGAGGCTGCATCTCGCCCATGTTCCAGGAGTTCCTGCTCCAATTCATCTTGCTCCTCCGTGGGGTCAAAGTTGTACATAGGCATGAGCTGGTGGCGTAGCTTCTCCAGCCTAGGGGGAGGACAGAGGCTGTTTGGGGGTAGGACAGAGCCTTCCTCCTTCAGTCTTGGTGACCAAGAGAGGCACACGCCAAGTTTAAGGTACCCCAAGTCTTCCCTCAGGATTCACTGATAGGCATCTTTGAACCTACAGTACCAATCTGACTCTCAGATGGGTAGCCTTAGAATGATCAACTAGCCATTCCAGGCTCTGGCTATAGGGGCCACAAGGGCTGCCTGGGCCAAGATTCTCCTGCAATCCCAGCCTCTATGGACTGAGGCAGAGGAAGGGAGCCAGTGGCAGCCAAGTTAAGACATCAGGGCAAGGGTGGCTGGCTGGTGACGATTCCTACCCTTCTTTTCTTTCCCCATACCCCAATGCCAGGGTTACATCTGTTTTCTCAGAATCTTCATACCTGCCTGCCTGTGTGTGAAAGTGGCCATCCCCAGTCACGAGTGGGCGGAAGAGGCCTTGATCTCCACCCCGCCCCCAACACCCAGTGAGAGGAGCCTTAGTGCTGGGCCTCTTTCTCCTTTCACACTCATATCCACTGGATCCCAGCCCAGCCCTTCCTATGGGCGAAAGCTTCAGGAACCATCTGAGAATTACCTCTTCTTCTTCCTGATATATAAAACCTGCAAGAGAAGGAACAGCATCAGCTGCTGAGAAACGGAGATCCCCACCAACCCAGCACGCCCTCAGGGTGGGGGAACTGTAGGGGATGAAGAGAGGAAGGAACACTTGGGGGTCCCCATCCCATACAGATGTCTTACATGTATGCTTAACATTCACCCCAGCCCTTGCCTCAGTAAGGTCTTGCTATTACCCTAGTCTTGCCTGGAATTCCCTATGTAACCCAGGCCAGTCTTGACCTCTCCATCCTTCTGTTTCAGTCTCCGAGTGCTAGAATTACAGGCCTGCGCAACCACACCTGGGTCCTTCGATATCTTCAGATGCCAACAGACTGGAGACTTGGAGATGGGGGCCAGGCATAGGAAAATTAGTTAAGGCTGTCTGGAATTGACTGTTTCCAGCTCTCCAAATCCTGACTAACCTCCCACTCAGCATCTGCCTGGGACTCCTCAGTGCTGAAGGGGAAAGGGAAGACTTCCGCATGTCCCTTCCCCTCAATTCTCACTGAAGCCCTTACAGGCAAAATCAACAGTAGGTCAGCAACAGCCAGGCCGCAGAACAGTGGCTCTAGGCAAGACTCTGCACATCTGAGCCCCAGGGTTGTCCCTCAGAACTCTGATGCTAGAGGAGCCTAAGAAAGTCCCTGGGTCCCTCCCTCCCTTGTCCAGACACAAAAGTAAAAGGTTGACAATCAGATACTATCTAGAACTCCCAGGCAGGAGTGGGGAGCCTTGGTACCAAACACCAAAGAGAGAGAAGGTGGGGATATTTAGGTGACCACGTCTAGGCAGGGACTCCAAGGACTACTGCCACCATCTGCTCTTCCCCAAACCGACAATTTTTGAATGTCAAGAATATGACAGCCAGGTGGAGTCATGAATAACTTTGATCCCAGTACTTGGGAGGCAGAGGCAGGCAGATCTCTGTGAGTTCGAGGCCAGCCTGGTCTACAGAGTGTGTTCCAGGACAGCTAGTGCTACATAGTGAGACCTTGTCTCTAAAAATACAAACAAACAAAACAACAAAAAGAGTATGACAGCTTCTGCTTGGGGAAAACCACATCCTCAAGTTTGTTCTGAGCCCCTGTGGCTCCCACAATTTTTGTAGCCAACTCATAGCTTGAATCTGTTTAATTCCCAAACTGGCCAAGAGCTTTTCCCATATGATTTCAAGTGGAAAAAAAGCTAAAATGTCCCTAGCTCACCCACCTGCTCCAGGGAGTGACTCCTTGCTGTCCTAGGGGTAGATGGAAGAGACACTCAGGTCTCTGAGTCATCCCCAGCCCCCTTCCACCCTGAGCGCCAGCCACAGTACCTCTGCTTTTGCTCCTTGGCCTCGCGGCTCTTGTGCCAAATCTCTCCCTTCCCCTGTAGTCTGTGACTCAGGATAACCTCAGGAAAAGCCTGA